ACATAAAACAGGGGTAGTTCCTGATCCACCTTCATCACAACAGAATAAAAAAGTTTTAATAGAAGCACCTGGTACACAGGACATGTCTTGTAACACAGCCAAAAACATTAGCTGAAGCAGTCTGTTAATTTGACACTGGTTCAGAAGGCAGGACCTGACTGAACAGAGTCAGAACAGCTTCATGATAATAGTACAATGTCAGGTAACAAGAAATCCAGCCTCTCCTCATGCTGTATATCAGATTATTTATGTAACTATGCACAACTCAGGTCAGGGCTCAAACGCATGACTGAATTATGAGCGTGCAATAAGCCACTGTGGGTCTAAGCAGCAATAACTCATGATAACTCCTTGCATTCTCATAGCCAGTGAAGGATACATAAGCTGATGCAAGTACTTTGAATCTGGCCAGATGCAAAACGTACTTAGAAAGTGAAAATAATACTCAGTTGTCAAGGGGATAACTTCATAAAGTGCCCTATGTTGATTTCATTAAGTGCCCATAAGTCGAAATAAATCTTTTTATTTTAGCAATCATAAACTTACCTGTGGAGGTATATCCAGCCACTTCCTTCCATTATTTCTTACAGGTATTTATTTATCATGTGTTAAAAAGTCTGTTTCCCTCAACACAGAAGAGATTTCATAAAATATTTACCCTGCTCAGGTCAACCTTCACACTCACCAAGGCACTGGTGTTGGGTTTGGTTGGGTGGGGTTTCAGGTTTGTTTCATCTTTAAGCTTCAAGGTTATGGTGCTAAGAGCTGATTAGACCAACTTATTCTGCCAGGGATATTTTTTCCAACAATTTTTAGATTAAATTTATATCAGCAGATTTAAATGAAATACAATCTGCCAGCACCTGTCTCACTTTATGCCAAATTAGGTATCATTTGTCCTCCCACAGATGGAATAAGGCAGAAACCTCATGCTACACATGAGGCTAACTCAACAGGATATGGGGAAAGACAGGAGGAAATTAAATGGTTTGCACTATTAAAAAAAACCCCAAACCCATTTAAATTGGATTTGCAAAATAAGTTTTGTATGTATGGACTAAAGTCAATTGATAGAAATCTACAAAGCAAGTAACATAACTACTATAGCCACTGCCAAATGGGGAAAATACAGCAACTGGAGCAGAGTCATCAGTCATCAAAAGCAGAAAAAAAACAGAGGGGAGTACATTGTAAGAAGAGGTGAAGAATATATGTGGTTTTGATAGCAATAACATTTCTACCAACAAGCCACAAGCTCTGCATTCAGCTCCCAGCAGAAGCAAGCTATATTTATGCTCCATCTGCAGAGGTAATGATTTAATTTATTTGTACACAAGTGATAACATCTGCACTCTGCTCCCAGCAACAGTCTGAGCCCTTCCTCTGCCCTGCCTCCCCACCTGTCTCCAAGTTTGAGCTACCAAGAGGTGGCAGAACCACCCACCCAAGCAGGCACTGGCTGCCTGACAGGCTGAAGATCCATATTATTTTAAAACAAATTTCAATGCAAAAAATTACACATTAAAGCAGAAAGACTGAATCAAATTCATTGTTGGGATTCACTAAACAATTTGGACAGAAAGCACCTTCTCCCTCAGCTGGAGCTCTGCATGCTCAGCATTAAAGATCATGGTGCTGCAATGGATTCCCCTGCTTCAGCCAGGTGGAGATGGCAAACGCTGCTACCACACAGCTCCCCTTGATAATGTAAGCTCCCTGAAGTGCCCATTGCTGCACAGCAGAGGAATCAGGTGTGGTACTACCACCACGTGGGCATAACACACAACTTGTCATTTAGATCACCATCCTGCATATTGAAGGCTAAAAATCTTGCAAGTTCAACATCTTAAAGCAAAATGGGTTAAACTCTATTGCAACCTCCAGACAGCTCACTTCATCTTTCCTACATCAGTGGGAGATGAACAGATGATGGCAACAACATCCAACAAGTAACTACTAACATTTCATTTTCTTTCTCGTATCTAGATAAAATTTTAGTAATAAGTGGTGCTTAACAAGAGCATTCAGTGTGGAATTAGAAAAATCTTCATAAGACAGCAACACAAGTATAGCTTCAGGGTGTCTTGATGTATATTATTCAATATTCTATACTTCTGTTTCCTCTAAATCCAGCCTAACTATCTGGAGTAACAACAGTCTCTGCTTTTGCTTCTGGCTACCATATGTACACTGGCCAGAATTCTTCAACTTAATACATGAGATGTTACAGCCCACCTAAGGCAGGTTCATGATTTCATCTCTTAACAGAGTCAGACACCAACACCACCAATCAACAGTGGTAAACAGTTCCACCACACCAGCGCCGCTGAGCCAACTGCCAGCGCCCATTCCCAGCTGCCCATGGCTGGAGATCAGGTGTCAGGCTGAGCAAAGGTCTGTCAGACACCCCTCTCCCCTCATGGATGCCTTGGAGAGAAGCATCAGCTTTTGCCACACAACTCATATTCTCAAGAGACCAGCAACACAAGTCAACACAACCCCCAGCACAACCCCATCCCTTTTTCTGCAAACACACAAAAAAATATATATTAATACCAGAGTCACGTTTATTCCTTGGTGGACTGTCCCAGAAGTGCTGCTTGGACAAGACGGTCAACCAACTCCAGCTAGTGTCTCAGAGCCTTGGCAGAATCCTGCAGCCATCCCTAGGGACCTGAGCATCTCCACACCATCTTTTGGTGCGACTGCAACCTCAGCAGGAGCAATGCAAGCAGTAACGTTCACTTCAGTGCCACTGTAGTTCATAAAATAGGTGCTGTTGAATCACACGCCACTGCATAACAGGTAACATGCCCCAAATTAAGCTCTGGAGTACATCACTTCAAAGCAGATTTGTTGGGCTTTGGTATTGTTTTTTTTTATTATTGTGTCCATTTTTTGCTTGATTTTGGAAAAGGTTGTTGTTTTGAAAAACTTTTCAAAAAAAAGGAACTGGAATCAAGGATGAAGCACTGCCATAGCCTAGAATTGATTCAGACCTGTACCAGGAGTGACTGACAGTCAAGGGATATCACAACTGCAAAGTGGCCTGCACAGAGCTGGTCTCTGCCCATTCCTAAGGAACAGGTGCCCACAGGACTGAGCCAGCAGCACGGCTGTGTGAATCACTCACTATCCGAGGGCAGACCAGTCAGCCTGAGCCACAACAGCTGCCAGAGCCACACAATCCTCTAAACAGCGTTTCATCCTGAAAGGAGCCCCATACATGGCACAGCCGATAAACTCTACACATGGCTTTTAAGTCCAACAGACACTTCTAATGAGTATTCAATTTGCAAATAATTTTTAAAAACCCCTACATTCCTCACCATAAAAATATAATGCAGATCATACATTGTTTCCAACACTTTTAGTCCTCAAAATCTAGGCTTGCCTTACTAAGGTGACAGTTTGCTGGGGTTCCAAGGAGGATGATTCTAATGAGCAATGGCCAGATGAAACAAACCAAATCCCGAAATTTTCACACCCTCCACCTTTTAAAGATCAGACCCAGAAAACAAGAACTTTCAAGCAGCCTTGTGAATTAGCACAACAGCACCTGATCTTGCCTTCAGAACCTGTGATTCCCTGTGGCACTCCAAGCTTCTAGCACTGGCTACACTGCCCTCATGCCCCTGAGCAGGGCAGAGCACAGTGAACCCATCAGCTCCAGGCAGAAGCTCTCAGCTCTTACAGCCACTGCTTCTCAGAAAAAAAGACTTTTGCACAGGCTTTTTTGCCTGCTTTGTTTAAAGACATAATTTCTTAACTCCAAGCCATTCCAAACATGTCCAAAAAAATACAAATCAGGTGAAATTGACCAAATTTTTTTCAGCCCCACTCTCTGCTCTCTGACAACTCCACCTCAGTCAGGGAAAATGCAGTAGTCAAAACGTTCCATAAAACACAAGCACCACATAAACCACTTCAATTTGGTTTCCCATCTATATCTTGAAGCAAAAGATAAAAAAAGAAAATAAAAAAGACACATCACACCATTAATTTTCACATGTTTAATGTAATGGCACTCTAATTAACTTTACAGTACTTTTATCTCCACTAGATATTGTGTTTCAAAAGTATAATGGGAAGAAAACAAACATAAAAAACCACTTTGATGGTAGTTTTAAAAACTAAATCATTTGGAGTTACATATGCATAAATTACTTTCAAAAAATTAATCAGGATTTTATTTTTCACCCTTGTCTAACAAAAACTGATTTTGTTGAGTATTTTCATAAGATTTAAAGACAGATCAAAATTGGCACTTAAGAAACTCCGAAGTCAGGGATGTCATAAGGTTATACCAGGACTTCCGCTGGAGCCTGCCATGAAGCAAACACTATAAATAGGGAAAGAATGTGCAAGAGCTCCGAATAAGTGAGAAGCACAACATGTTTTGCAAGCTTGTGTTCTGAGGGCCATGAAAGTGAAGACTCTTGGCTGAGGAAAGCCTGCCCGAATTTCCCCAGCTAAGGCCTATTCCAAGTAAACCCATCAACCACAGGGACAGCCATACACTGGTTTCTGCGGATTTGACCTTGGATCAACAACAAAAACAACCAGAAGGTGACTTGGAGAAGCCCAGAGAAATAATAGAAAGCATTTGTTGTTTTTCCCATGACAAGTAATTAAGAGAAATAATATGAAAGCAAGTTAAAGTAGACTAGGCAGAAGTTTTTTTAAGGTGGATCAGCTATAAAAATAGCAACATTACTGGTTTTCTTATCAGTTTCATACTTACTTACACTTTAAAGAGATCAGGAAAACATGTACACTTTGTACTAAGTTTGGAGCATTCTTAAAAGAGGGGAAACTAGTCCAGAAGCAGCCAGGACCCTTATTTTCACCCTTAAGTTTAGCCCGAAAGATTGTGGACTTTTATAGTCATTTAAATGACTTGAGTTTTGGGGGTGAAATGTGTTTCGTACAATTGAAAGGGTTCGTTTTAGCTTTCACTCCCTTTAATGCAGAGTTCAGGAAGGGACCTAAGTGAAGTGCTCATTCTGCTATTTCCTTTTTTTTTTTTTTAATTAAGAAAATATTCAGTCAACTAAGAAAGGCATTAATATTTTACCTGTGCATCCCACTTCTAGAGTCGCCTCCCACCAAAGGACATTCACAAAAACTCTCATGTTTAATACTTAATCTTTGTGAGAGAAAGTAATTCATAACTTCAAGTTAATAATTTGTTCACTTGGATACCCATATGATATAAACTGGGCAGATAGTTTGATTCATGCACAGGACTAATGGAGTATGTTAAAGAAAATAAATGCAGAAATCTACAGAAAAGTACAACTTTTGCTTGAATCATATATTAATTATACAGAAGAAACAAAAATCTCTACTTACACAGAAAAGGGTGAAAAAAACAAGCACACTCCATCACTTTTCTTACTGTAAGAATATTGCACATTCCGATAATGTTGCACAAATTACTGGCTTTTAATAAAAGACCATATATGAGGTATTAGTCTATTAATAAATAAAGAAGAACACAGAAAAGGAAAAGCACTTAATATAGCGCAACAATCCATTCCAAGGATTAGGCAATGAAAACAAGTGATAATATGTACACTGGAGGGGAAGGCCAAAGTTCCTTAACAAACAGGCAGCTTTCAATATCTATCCAAGAAGCAAAGGGTTAAACCTCTTAATAAAGATTTTAAGAAGTCAAAGCCTATTTAGAACACTGCTAGTTAAAATGCTTATTTTGCTCATGCAATCAACCTGAAAGGTAAACTCCTACTTCCCAGTTCTAAATGGACAACCAATTTAACAAACTGAACCTGTATGACTAGTCAAACAGAAGATACTAGTTAAACTAAGCTACAACAGAACTCTTTGATTGACATCAGCTGAAGTATTTGGGGGTTTTGTTGTGCAGCATTTTCTGGTGGTTTTTTCTTCCTTTTTAGTTTTAAGTAGTTCATACTGGTTGTGAGTTTCCATGGTGCTAAAATCAATACCCATTAGTGCTGCCCTTATTAGAAGTTTCAAGCTCCACAAGGCATTGGACGAATACAAGGAAGGATTGCAATCTTCAGTTTTACTCCGCAGTTAGGCTAAGAATTTACCTCTCAAATCACAACACTGAAAAAATTCCTGCTGACAGGTAATAAATCTGCCAATCTAAACACTGTAGCTTTTACGAGGGCCCTTTCAGGAACACCATGAATCTGTAGACAAGCTTACCCTACTGAAGTTCCTAAGATCTCAGAGGGATATTTTAGTTCCATAAAGTGAGTTACAAAAAGTACATTGCACACGTGGTAATATAGTAAGAATAAAACAAGAGTGTTTTGGGTGTGCCCTTCCAAATCTTGTCAGAGAGATATTTGTGTTGTGGAAGGAGGGGGATAAAAAACCAAAACAAAAACTTTGTGTGCACACAAACTTACATACATGAATATCCCTATGTCCCCTAAATAAGTCAAGGGTTATTCAAATCCTAAGATTGTTTCAGGCCAATTCAGAAATGAAACTAACTCCTACATCACTCACAGTCTTCACATATTCCCTTGCTATTCTCAAACTTCAAAAAGCAAGGTTTTTACTAATACTTTTGCAATGCTAGAGAGAGTAACAAAGACCCAAGGAAGTTATATTTCTGCTGCTATTTTGTGTAAATTATGTAATTTGCACAGTAAATCTGTATCAGGTAAAAGCTGCAAGTGCAAAATTGGAAAGAAATGATTAAAAAAAAGCAGCACATCAAAATTAAAGTATCTCCTGTGCTTCAATCCACACACAAGTAATTCAATCAGTCCTGAACTGGCTTACATGAAAAAAATTATATTACATTTCTGAAATGAAAAATATATATCTTGTGTTCAAATTCAGGGAAAGTGTTTACTAATCTGAAATATATATAATTTTTTCTGTCACATGAGATTATTTCTCTCCCATTCTAAGTAGTTGTTGACACATTTACTTCCCAACAGCATGTTGTTTCTATTCTGAAGATTAATTTCATCTACAACTTCTTTATAGCAGTTTAAGTGTTTTTTAAAAAATACAGTTCAGAGAATTTCTTCCATGTTAGCACAAAACCAAGAAAGACTATGAAGATGTTGAGTAAAGAAGAAAAGTTTAGAAGAAAGGAAACATTATTGTCCGGAGCAGTCGGTGTATGTGGTAACCATGTTTCCTCGTCTCTGAGTGACAGTCCTGCAGTGCTTGCTGGATCCATGAAACCTGGCATCAGTTCGCACTGCATGTCTGTGTGCATTTTCAAAGTCACTGAAGGAAAACATTTTTTCCATATTTTCAAACACATCATCAAAGAGTCCACCTCCAAAAGAAAACTCTTGGAAAGAACGTCTTTGCCGGTTATGAGCCTCCCGATGGCCTCGGAAGTGATTTTCAAAGTGCTTTTTTGACCGCGAGTTTTGACTAAACAGGTCAAAGTCTTTGAAGAGATCGTCAAAGTTGAAATTAAATGACTGATGGAATGGACTTCCACTACTTCCTCTTCCTCCGTGACGACCAAGCTGATCATATTCTCTTCGTTTATTCTCATCTGACAATGTTTCGTATGCTATTTATGTTTAAAAAAAAAAAAAAGAAGTTACAGTTCATTTCCATTCAAAACACCAGAAAAAAAGAAAACCATGCACAAACACAAAGAACAGCAGCTTTCTCTCCCACTCTTCCTGAACCGAAGAAATTTCAAACAAGACTTTCATTCAATACTCAAGCCTGATCAAGAGCTCTACATTTATTTACCTTTCTCCAAACCAAAATAAACTGCATTAAAATAGTTACTTACAATAACAAACACAGCTATATTATGAGAATAGGTTACACATAATACAACACAGTTTAACTACCAATACATATTGGCATTTAGATTTGAAACAAAATAACAGTGAGAGGTGGTGATCAGAAAGCCTGAAGGAGGAAGGATGAGTCAGATGTTCTAAGGACCTGCTGCACTCCTATCACAGAAACACAGGGCAATATCTGCAAAGCTACTTGCCAGCCAGCAAGTTCCAGATACACCAGTTACAAGCAACAACATAAAAACTGAGGAAATAAAGAAAATTAATTTCACTGTGTGTCAATTCTCCATTTTTCATAAGTTCACACAAGTTCAGCAATAAACCTAGATTTTGTGACTGGATATACCCAAAATGAAATTAGATTTCCCTCCAATCTTTGGTTTGGAACTACAGCTACTGGTATTCCAAGGCAGAAACTCTGATAGAAAATACACCCATTCTGATAAGAAAATATTTTAAAAACTCATTTCCTTACCTGTCAAAGACTTGCAATTATTCTATATGATTCAACATTTAAGAGTTCCTACTTCCTCCTGTAGTAGGTGCTAACAACTGCAGTGAGTATCTAATGAGGCTGTCACTCCCTTTCATTATATTACTAACCACTTCTCTTTCAAAACAACTCTTCGGCAGACAAGAAGGTAAAAGCCAGATATCCCATTTAGCTTAGTTAAGAGAACTACACAAATAGATGGATGTTATACCGGAGTCTACAGGGAACAGAAGTGGGTACACCTTATTTTTCAAAAAGTCTTTCTGTTCTTGATTATCCACTTGCACCATTTTATCACACAATACTTGTAAGTGTTATATTTGTAGGATCACAGACAGTTCAAGTTAGACATGACCTCAGTCTGTACTCTAACCTCCTGCTCTAAGCAGGGTCAGTTATGAGATCAGACTAGGTTAGTCAGCGCTTTACCCTATCATTCTTCAAAAGTGCCAAGGCTGAAGACTGCACAACCTCTCTAGGTCATCTGTCCTAACACTGGCCTGTAGAAGAGATTCAGAGAATTGTTAAGACTGGAAAAGAGCTCTGAGATCCTCAAATCCAACCATCATCCTCAAGGTGAAAAAGTTTCTCCCCATAACCACTTGAACCTCTTGCACCTGTTGTCTATCGCATTTCCACCATGACCCACTGAAGTGCCCTGCTGTGTGTTTTCTAATAATCTCCCAACAGTTACTGCAAGGTTGCTGTTAGGCCCTCCTGAAGCCCTGGTAGTAATCCTGAGCCACATCTTATGAAACAGATCCCAGGGCTAAAGCTGTCCTACTAACAAGTATTTTTGTGAGAAGAAGAATATGCTAAAAGCCATATAAGCAGAAACGCATAAACTGCGTAAAAGGCCTTCCTATGCGCAAGAACACAGAAACAACTCAGATTTTGATGCTTGATATCTGACAGCACTTAAGTGGAATTCACAAAAAAAAACCCTTTATACCTCTCATTCAGTAAAAACAAAATGCACTTACATTCTAGATATAAGACATTATCAAATTATGACCATAAATAGTATATATTACCTTCAGCAATTTCTCTAAATTTTGCTTCTGCTCCAGGACTCTTATTTTTGTCAGGGTGGTATTTCATAGCCAGCTTGTGAAATGCCTTCTTAATCTGGCGGTCAGATGCGTTTTTTGGAACTCCTAAGATATCATAGTAGCTCTCTGTAGCCAGAATTAATTCCGTTATCATTAAAATGCAGAGAGCAAATGTGAAGACAGATTGTGTAGTGGCCATTTCTCCAGCTCCTAAAAAGAAAAGGAAATATACTTGAAGAACAAGTTGTTTTACATTCCACAACAAGTTAGTTACAGCTGTAGGCTGGCAGAGGAAGACCAGCATGTTACAGGAGTCAGTGCCAGACTTGTAAGCACACTGCTTTACACCTGTCAAACTCCATTACACAATTTTCACATTCACAAAACACGTAAGTGAAAATACTGCAAAGCGACATTTCATGTACACAACAACCACTTTGGTGTTTGTCTTTGTTTTACATTTCACTGATCGTTGTCATACGAAGTTGCAAAAGTAAATACACAGCACATTTCATTGCATCTAACATTTCACACTGCCATACCTGAACTAGCTGTACATTAATCTTGAGTTCTAGGACCCCAAACAGAGTGGCTCCGACCAGTAGTGACCCTGCTGGAAGAGCAAGTGACTGATTAGCTGGTGAACAACAGGAGCATAAAAATACAACAGGCCTAGAGATGACTGTGAGGTGCAGGAAGACAAGACTATCAGACACTCGTGCTCAGCTTCAGTTTGTTTAACCCACCTAAGGTGAACATGATAAAGAGCAGCTCATTCACTTCCAGAGTTCAGCCAAGTAAAGCACACTTTCCTCTATTTAACAACAGGCTGGCTTAGCTCATCTGCATTTCAGATTGCTTTATAAAGGAAAACACCTACCACATCTTTGATATCAAAGAATTCAGCTGATAAATACCACTGCATAGAAAGGTTTACATATGAAACAGTGGTAGAACTGAAGGCAAAAAATGTCTTTTATACAAGTAGCTTCAACAATAATTAAAAGCTGTAATTTTTTTCAACAATTCATGTGTCAAAAAATATATTTTGAAACAAATATATGAGAACTTAGGGGAAAACTGTGGCATATATAATGACTTAAAGAAACAGTTCCACATAGCCACATGATGTCTCATGATTTTCATGAAGGACAGAGTGAGCTGTTCCTACCAGAAGATGAGGACAGATAATATGCCTGTGCATATTATATTTAAAACACAGAGTGCAGAAAGGCAAATGTTCAAAGACAGAATGCTGGCGGACACCTGACCAGAAGGATGTACAAGACCCTGAACATTCCAGATGTATCATGTCCCCCCCACCAGATTACACTGATTTAAATGTACTGTAAGAACAACTCAGAGACCATTGGTGTTACTCTCCTGAAAGTTGAATAAACAAACTTACAGTCTGAGCACCATTAAAGTCAGAACACTTTTGCTAGCCAGCATGGGACCCAAAATTTGTCAGGCAGAATTCAAAACCTTTGAATACCTAATACATATGAAAATTAAACATTTATGTGAAAGTCAATTCCATCTAAACAAAACAAAAAAGCAAGAACCAAAAGTGGAAAAAAGAATACCATTTCCAACAGGCAAGTCAGGAGCCTAAAATGAATGCTGCGAGACAAGAGCAAAAGGCCTGCAAGATTAATCTACCCATGCCCTCTTAAGCATTTATTTGGCCAGCAGCCTGCATGATATCAAGTGTTAAGGGGCAGCAGTTGAAACAAATTGTATTTTGATCAGTGCACTTAGATACCAAAAGGATCGTTCGTTCCAGTATTCTCCATGCACAATATCAGACATATTTTTAGTACCAAGTTTTCCCACATACCTTCTCTCACCACTTCACTAACCTGAAATTTTATGACTTGGGCACTAAGAGCCACACACATGTACATCCTTCCATGCTTTAAGGGCTTTCTTCCTGTTTGTGCTTTATAGATGCAGACTTCTGTGTTCATCTCATACACGTGATTGTTTTAATTTACTTCATTAGCCCACACCTGCATCATGTTTGCATAATGACTGCTGCACTCTCCTAAGGTCAACCATCCTGCTTCTGCTACTGAACATTGAAAAGAGCTAAAAGGAACAGCTCATGTCCTCCTTAAGAAAGAGCAAAACCCTCTTTCATAACTCATGAGAGCCAGAGATCATCAAGTTAGTCCTTCAGGTTTTCTGCTCTGGCTCACCATCTCAACTTGTATAAATTCTGATAACAAAACACACCTGAATTTTTCTTTTCTTACAGTTCTTTACATTAGGAGTTCTGTAATGAAGTTCTTTGCTATATTTGATTTCTAAAGCATATTAAAAAAATGGGACTTAAGTTTCACAATTTTTTAAACTAGCAAACACAGATTTAATGCTGCCCTTGAACAAATCAATCAAACTCAAATTTAAGAATAAGATGTAAATAAAAACAAAATACAAATAAAACTCCAGTATAAGCAGCATTTTAAACTTCACAGTTATGAGAGCAAGTCTTATATTTAGATACTATCAATTATTCAATTCACTTTTTAGAAAAAACCTATTTTATCTGCTGTCAGTGTCTTAGCATTGCTACTGCCAACGACTTCAGCGTTGCCATTCCAAACTATTTTTACAATCCCTTTCAAAATAAATCTCCTAAATACTTTTTTTGCTTACATCTCTTCACCCTCTGTTTCTCAATCAAAAAGGGACATGTAAGTTGCACTTTCCAGGTCATACACTGCAGCTACTTAAAGCACATTCCAGAATTCAATAAATTCTGTACACATTAAGCTCAGGCAATAATGAACTCTTCTAATAATTATCTATGTACTTAATTTAGGTACATCTACCAATGAAGAAAGCGACCTTAGACCACATAATAACTATTTAATTCTGTGGGGTGAGCAGGTACAGATCTCAACTACTATTCATTTTTGTATAAGAAGTGCACTGTCATGTTTATCCAAAGTACTGCAGAGGTAATAACAACCAATTTCTCAATAGTTTATCAACAGCTGCAGAATGAAGGGATGTTTGAGGATGATGTACCTAGAATAAAACCTGTCAGATTTAGAAAATTAGAAGCTACTTCATCTTGCAACACAAATACCCTATTCCATCCTTCTTTAAAAGTAGTTAACCAAAATCTTAGATAAATGCTTATATTCAAAGTCTCACGTACTCAGAAAACACGGAGCATCACTAGAGTCCTGCTACTACTTTCATTACAGAATTGCTATACACTAACCTGTGGAATGCTCACGTCCTGTAATTATTTCTGCAAGCAATTTTCTAATAGCAATAAAGTTACCGAGGTCTTCCCTCGGTTCTCCTACCACGACTAATGAGATGAGTAAGCAAGTCTTCCAGTCCTCAAGCAGCTACGAGCAAGTCTGTCAAACGGAGGGGCTCGTACTAGTCTTGGCCTCTCCTATACTGACTCGAAAGCAAATATAGAAGAAGGTTCCTGAATCTTGCCCTGGAACACAGGGAAACGAAGGAATCGACCTGGCACCACCCTGCCTATCCAGACCCCTGAAGCCCTCGCTGGAGCCGGACCGCACCATCGGGCGGGGCCAGGCCAGAGCTGGGCAGCCGCTAACAGCCACACTCAGCGACGCTGTCCCACTCCAGTGCAGCCAGGCTGGGAAACACCAGGGCAGCGCGGCCCGGGGAGGCCCAAATTCCAAACGAAAGCTCCGCACGGCGCCTCAGCGGCCCCGCTCTGCGCTCCCCCGCCTAGTTTCCCACGCTGCCCCCAAGCTTCCCAGCGCCCCCGTACCGACCCGTCCGCGTCCGCCTTCACTCCACCCACTTCAACAACCTTCCACATTCTCGGAGCCCTCACCCAGCGGCCCTTTCCCGCCGTGCTCACCTCAGCACCGACTCCGCGCCCCCGCCGCCCCTCAGCGCCACCACCGTCGTTCCCGCTCGCCCGCGCCCGGCGCTCGCGCAGTCCGGCCCCCCGCCGTTCCTACACGAAGCGCTGCGCCATTGGTCGCCGGGGCGCACGTGACGCGGTGCACGCTGCAGGTCGCAACCTCGGCGCCGCCGCCACCCGCCGCTGGGGGCGCTGTGGGGAGGCGGCACCGCCCCCAGCCGGCCCAGCCCGGCCCGTCCCAACTCAGCTCGGCCCGGCCCGGCCCGGCCCGGTCCGGTTCGGCCCGGCCCGGGGTGGCCGCCATGCCGCGGTACTGCGCCGCCACCCGCTGCAAGAACCGTGGCGGTCAGAGCGCCAAGGACAAGCGCAAGCTCAGCTTCTACCCGTGAGTGGGCGCGGAGCGGGGCAGGGCCTGGGCGAGCGCTGGCCGTGGCGGCGGTAGGAAGCCCCCACCGCGGAAGTCAATGGCCGAAAGACTCATTGCCACGGGCGGACCGCGCTGGTGGTCGCCTTGGAACCCCGCCTGCTCCCGGAGGGCTGGAGGGAAAGGACGCTGACCCCTGGGGGAAGGGAAGGTGTAGGAATTAAGAGCGGACAGCTGAGGTGTAATTGCACACACCGTCCCTCGCACGGGACAGACGGACGGACGGAACTTGGGGGAAGGGGAGATGGCACGGCAGCGTCTGAGGACTCTGGAATAGGTGCAGAGGGTCCGTGAAGTGAAGAGCAAGGAGATTCGACTAAAAAATAGAATTTGCACTTCTGACTCTCTTTCGTTGCTGCCTTTGTGGAAGCGATGGTCCAGCAAGGCAGGCGCTAGGGGAGGCTTTCGCTTAACGGTGAAATGCCTTGTGTATTACGGTTTATATGCCAGGAGAGGGGCCCGGAAGAGTGAGCTTAATGATTCCTTAAAATTAAACTTTGGCACTAGTATTACTACCTTACCCGTGCTGTGAACAGAGGCATTGCTGGTTGTTTGGAAGCAGCTGAGTTAGCTGGAATTTAGCTGCTTCGGTTGCCAAAACCAGTTTATGGTTGCTGCATTGTGCTGTGCAGACTCTGCACGGAGCAGTCGCCATCCCAGGCCTGCAGTAACCTCTGCCCTGATGTGGTTGCGTGGCTGTCGCTTCCCAGGATGGTGAGTTATAAACAGTATTTCACAATCCTGAGAGAAGCACAGTGCAGGTAACTAAATATGAATTTGTGTGGTATAAAAGTATGGAACTGTTTGTCAACGCAAGCAACTTAACAAAAATTTGAAAAATAAATTTCACAATTAGCCTCAAAATCTGTTTTGGTAAAATTTATAGCTCAAACTAGGTTTCCTTTCAGTTTCTGATTAGTCATAGTTATTCCAATATCAGGAAGTCTGTGTAGGAAGACCTACACAGAAAGAACTACTTTGAAAGAAAAAAACAATAAGGAAAATAATTTCTTTTCCCTTATGCTTTAGAGAGCATGCATGTCACATGGATAATCAAAACAAGTTTGAGCACTGAGACATGTACACATATACATATTCAAATGTATGGCATCAGTATGGAGATGATTGCCAAAACTTAGCTGGTTTATCTAGCCTTTGAGTTGTGCTCCATTCTGAGTTTCATGATCCTGTAGAAGGGATGCTGAGATTTGATTTATAGATTTCTCTTGCTTTATATAAGTGACTACTGCTGACGTGAATTGCAAGTTTTATTCCCTTGCCTCTTACCACCACCGAAGTCCTCTGCTGCTCTGTGGCTGGGGTCTGAGCCCCTTCCAAACCCTTTGTCACCTCATCTCAACTGGCCTAACTGCTCTTCTTTGTTTTATTTCTTCACATCTTTGACTTGTGTAGTGATGGCAGCTGCTAAATAAATTCTGTCCACTTCCTCTTTCCATTTCCCCTTTTTTTTGTGTCTTGTTTACGCTAGAGAACAGATTCTGTTGATTAGTGAGGAGTTGAAGCATGAGCAGGTTTTAGCAAAGTTGCCTTTAAGCTAAAATAATAACTTTCAGTATCAGACCCTTCTCTTGCTACAGATTATTTTATTTTCCATCTGAAGCTGGTTGAGTCTGGGTAGAGCAGTGGGTCCTGTGTTATGTGGGAGCAAGTGCTCTCAAGGCCTTCTTGGAGAAGGTGTGAGTCATGACACGACCTTCAATGAAAGGAAGACATCATCTTCCTGGGAGACTTTTCTGGACCTCTGTAGTGACAGCCAGGCTAAGCTGTGTTACCGAGGAGCATGCTCTGTCATACCTGCAGTGCTGCCACTGCGTGTACATGATCTAAGCAGACAGGATTTGAAAAGCTTGAGCCTCTAACTTGTTCTTCAGAGGTTACTGTGTTCTTATTCCTTGCATTATTCCTTGCATTCCTGCAGATACGCAGAGCTGGGTGCATCAAACGCCTGCTCTGTTTCCTTGGTAATTTGAAGATTTACATGGCAACAAATTCAAAAGATTGGGGAAGGGGTAAAGACATGCACCTTTGTGCTGTGAATTTCAGCACTCTTTCTCTCAAAATCGCCTGAGTTTGCAGTTTTGGAACACAGGGCCTGTGTAAGAGTCTGCTGCTATCTGTGGCTTTTGGAGGAAACCTGCAGCTTCTGGGATTTGAGGGTGGGATTACAGAAGAAAAAAATTTACTTTGTAATTATTGTTGCTCATGATGCTCAGGAATATTGATTTCTAAACAGCAGTGCTCAGAATTCAACTTACAGTTTGAATGACACATATGTATCGTATGTGGTTATATGCTAGAGTTAAGGTAAAATTGATATGCACCAGAGAAACATTTCAAGTACATTTCAAATACCCTGATACCTGACTGAGAAGATGTGGGAGACAAGAGTGGTCTGAATGTTCATGCTCCTGTTACCATCACTTCTTGACTGTGCATGCATCATAATAAGCCTTTAATTTCCCTTTCATTTGTGTATTGCCTGTCATTAAGTAAATAACATGTTTTCACACGTCATACACTTTCTTTTAAATTTAGTTCTCTTTCTGATGTCTGACCATTTGCATGTATTTTTAAAGTCAAACTTTTTTTCTATGAGGGTGTATACTCATAATTTGCCTTTTCAGGTAGGTTAGATGATTGAAAAGTTAATTCTAAACTATAAAATATTATGTGGGCTCCTAACACTGTGAGAAAGTTTAATTGCTGAAACACAAAATATAGAAATGCTTTGCATTTGCATGCATTTACTTTTTGAACAAAATTTAAAACCTGTATTGGAAATATTCACATTGCCGAATTATCTGATAATCCAAAGAGGAGCATGTATTAGGAGGTTCTCTGTTAAACAGAAAATACTAGTTGTGTCTAGAAAGACAAATAAGCCCGAGAAATACTATTAATAAAATGAGGACCAGTCTTAACTTTCTTTAAATTATGTCTCAGTATTTCATCTCCCTTCAGCAGAGCTGCTTTCTGAGCAAGTGTTGTAGGATCAAACCTTTCAAAACATCTTGGCCATGCATTCTGAAACCCTAACTACTAGAAATCAGAAATTGTGCTTCTGAATTCTAGAGCAAATACCCAACTAGAAATAATGTTTATAATGATTGGGTTAACATGTACATGACATCTAGATAAGCATTTAATACTTAAAATTTTTGAAAAAAAATTATTGTAATCTTTTCTAAAGGAAGGCTACCTTCTAATATTCTTCTTTAAAACAAAGAAAGACAACAATAACAGGGGGTTTTGTATATTTTCTTGTTTGTCTTTTCGGCTGCTTTAAAAAGATTCTTTTTGACAATGATGGAGAGAGATGGGGAGACTGACTTGGTGATCGGAATCCCATTTTATTGTGGGATACAAGCGCTTGTATACTATTTTAGGGAGACTAGTAATGTGTACTGTGGGGGCCTGACTGAATATATGTATTGTAAACATATGTATGGCAGTGATCTCTGTATTGTATTGCCCTGATCCTAGTTATTGTAAAAGGGCTGCAGCTGTGATGTCCTGTAATTGGGCAGCAGCTGAACCCCATGGAGGTAGCTGGGATAAAAGGGGGGTGAGGCATTCGGAGAGGAGCCCTGGCAGAGAAGAAACAACAACACTGCTGAGAGGATTACAACAGTGTACTAGAATGATTAGGTTAAAATCACATACATAACTTACGCATATAACAACATCTCTTGCTTGCAGAGTTTACTAGGATTTTCTTTTTCTGGTAAACCTGTCTGATTAAATCTTCTTTCTAGATCTAATTTCTTCTATCTAGATCTAATTTTCAAAGTTCTATTTGCTTTAGCAAGGCATTTTGTCTATCAATTCTCTTATGCTAATAAGGTCCAAAGTACTCTGTGTCTCGTGACCCCAACAGATTCCCACTTCATGACAAAGAGAGACTTGAGAAGTGGCTGCGGAACATGAAGCGGGATTCCTGGACTCCAAGCAAGCACCAGCTCCTCTGCAGTGACCATTTCACCCCCGATTCCCTGGACGTGCGGTGGGGGATACGCTACTTGAAAAACACCGCTGTGCCAACCATTTTCTCTTCCCCAGATGATGAGGTCATCTATTTCTATCCTTTTTTTTTTGTTTTGTAGTATGAAGCTAACCAACTATTGATGTTATACAGATTTTCTAATCTGTCAGATAATTATATTTTATTTTAAAAATAGAATTCCTGTCCATCAGTACAGTTTGTCAGCAGGCCTGACACAAAGCATGTGTATGTGATTCCATAATGTAAAGGAAGAGCAACTTCCCCTAGTTTGATTGGAGGTTCAATATCTTTTTTTAACTGGAGATTGCAGAAGCATTTACTATAGAAAATGTTAAATTTCTTATGAGAATAATAACTGTATCTCATATCCGAATTCCCTAGAGTTTGAAAAAATCCCACAATAAATCAAATAAAAAACTCCATAGTAAGAAAAAAAAAAAACAAAAAACAAAACTAGAAACCCAAACACTGCTATTGCTTTTACAGCTTTAAAATAGGATTTTTAAATGTAGAGCCTGAAGCAAAATTGTGAAAGATGCTTACATGAATTCTTGGGCCTCTGATGTAATTTTTAAGCAGTGCTTATCTAAGTTAGTCCTTTTGCAATACCG